TTCTATATCTGTTTGAAGTAGCAGCAGCTGAAGAGCTGTTCCAGTTAAGCCACTAACCAGCTGGTTTAGCTTGTTAAGAGCTGAGTAGGAATGAAAACCTGCAATTAATACTGGTCAACTAGCTTCTACTGCATTCAGATGGTGTTGCAGTCTGCACAATTTCTCCTCTACCTATTTCTTTCAGTGATGTGAGTTCCTGGAAAGATAATGAGTGGATACAGATTTGAAAAGAAAGTAAGTTACACCATTGTGCAAAGTGAAAGACTGATAACTTTTTTTCTGAATGAATACAAAAAACATGAAATAATGTAAAGCAGATTAAAACTTAAGTTTCAAAGCCATGTACTGCTGGGTGTTTTATTTTACACTGTAACCTGTGCTTTCTCACAAAGAACATTACAGTGGTATCTAGCACTGACCTTGATGTGGAATACAAAACTAAACTCAAACTGAAGTCAGCTTTCAAACATTCAAGTTCAGGTTTTGCTCCATGTTCCAACCACAGTTCAGACTGGTGTCGTCTAAAATGAAATACAGATTTAAAAAAACAAACAAACAAACCACATACATGTGAACTGTGTGAAGTATATTGTCAGAGCCTGCACATTTGGAGTTATATTTGTATTAACAATCTAATCCTAAATATTGTTAAATGTTAAAACGTTAAATGTGTTATGACTGTACCTAAATCATTTCATTTGTGTAATATATCTATTTTTGTAACTGGTTATGGAGAATAATGCAGATTTTCTTCCAGACAGGCAGGCCGATAGATTAAGTTTAGTAAAAGGTGTTAGGTCCAATAATATGCACAGTGATTCAGCAACAGACAGAATATACTCTAATACAAAAGAAAGAAACTATAAACTTATGCATTAACAGTATGGATTTCTACAGAAATCGAAGGAAACATTTACCTTACAACATGCTTGAATGATGAGTATGTGATAGAATACACAAATATTATTTTGAACGAGACAAAGTGGTGGCAATCTGACCTCCTCCTTACCAATAGCAGGAAAACAGATTATTTAATTGAATACCTGTTCAAATGTAGGCTCAGGGATAACAGTTGGGGTGGCCATCTAGGTTAATTTTATGATTGAATTCAATTCATTCAATAAGCTACTAATTATTAATTAGTCTAGATGGGCTAAATAGACTCCACTTGTTTGTAGTCGTTCTTGAGTACGTTTATTATCCATCCATCTCTTGAAACAAGCTTTAACAACATGGCGGAGTAGCTTGTTTCTCTTTTTCTTATTTTGAATGTACTTTCCCGTAGTGTTCACTTGTATCCTCTGGTCAATGTTTCACTTTTGAATCCAAAGACGGACATTTTGTTGGTTTAGTCAGAGCCTTTGCAGATTTTGAATTTTGGAATAACATCTCCCTTGTAATTTTCTGCATTCAAGAGTGAAAAGATTAAGCTCTTTCAGTTTGTCAGTGTGCAACAATCCATTGGAATTGTATGTGGTTGCTCATCTCTTGACTGATCAATTATATGTTTTTTCTGTAGTGTGGTGACTAAATTTGTATGTAATATTCCAAATGTGGTCTTACTACTGCACTATACAACTTTAACGCAACACCTCTTAATGTAAATTATATGTGTTTCTATATATGCTAACATTTTTTGCTTTTTTACTGCTATATCAATATAAGCACCTAAGCCAAAATCAGAAGCAGAGTGTTCAAATAATAATAAATAAATTCTTATATTGGGTACTGATGTTTAAAATGGGATTTCTTAATGTGAAGGGATTCTTAAAAATAAATCACACTCAGATCAAATCACATTTTATTCAGAACAGACAAATATATAATATATAATATACAGACAAGATAATATCGGACGCACAATTCATATTATGAAACTTTTTGATGATCAAAAGGTGGATGTAGCTCAGTGGTAGAGTGCATGCTTTGAATATATGAGGTCCTGGGTTCAATCCCCAGCATCTCCAGGTGCTTGGGTGGAGTGGTGGCTCTCTGGCCAAGGATCTGCACTTGTGGCTGAAAGGTTGCCAGTTCAAATCCTGTGGCTGGCAGAGGAATCCTACTCTGTTGGGCCCCTAAGCAAGGCCCTTAACCCTAACTGCTCCAGGGGTGCTGTACAATGGCAGACCCTGTGCTCTGACCCCAAGCTTCTCTCCCTGTCTGTGTCTCCATGAAGAAAAGCTGGGGTATGTGAAAAGATGAATTCCTAATGCAGGAAATGTTATAGGGCTAATAAAGAAACATTATTATTAAGATAGGGGCAATCTTGGTTAGCTTATATGCCTTTGATCCAGTCAATAGGGAATTTTTATGTCAAACATAATAGAAATTTGGATTTGCTGAGAAATTTATTAACAATTAAAATAATATATTCAAATCCAACAGCACAAATGAAGATAAATGGAAATCTTTTTGACAGATTTTGTTTAAAAAGAAGTACAAGACAAGATTTCTCCTGTAACCCCTTTTGTTTTCTTTATATATAGAAACCCTAACAGAATAGATTAGACAAGATCCAAAAATTAATGGGATAAAAATCAAAGGACAAGAACAGAATTATAAGCAGACAATGTCCTGCTGTATTTTGATGATCATAATGAATTGTTTGCCAGTGTTGTGGATCTCCTGGATAAATTTGATCAGATATTGGGGTATAAAAAGAATATAGAAAAAAAACAGCAGTTGTCTGTTTTAATTCTAACCCAACAGATCAATTAAAAGAAACTTTAAGCTAAACTGGTTATCAATATCCATTAAATATTTGGAAGCACATTTATCAAAAGGCATCAAAAGTATTTAATTCAAATTTAAACTCTTTAACTCATAAAATAAAAGATCACCTAACAGTGAGAGTCTGCTCCTTTTCTCATTGGGATCTAGAGGTTAAATAAATTAAAATAAATGTCCTGCCATGACTATTATACCTTTCTCAGTCTCTTCCAGTAGAGATTTCTACAGAAGAGTTTAATGAATGGGATAAATTGATGTTAAGGTTCATTTGGAATGGAAAAAAAGACTAGGGTAAATTTGAAATTCTAGAATTAACCAATGTAAAAGGTGGTTTAGCCTAGCCTAAAAATCATATTACCAAAGCAACTCAATTTAGATATCTAATCTGTTGGCGTGATCAAAATTATAGTGCAGAATGGAAGAAGATGGAGTCTTTGATCATAGATACATTTTCAATACAGATGGAACTGGAGGAAGGACCGCTGGCAGAGACTATATATAAACCAGCTATACTCTCTGGCTAACAGTTCCAATTAAAATTAGGTTTAAAATAATAAAAACTTACAACTTGAGGAAATATTAAAATATTTAAATGGTAGCTTATGATCCAGATTTCTCCTCTGGCAAATCTGATACATGTTTTAAGACTTGGACTATGAGAAGAACTACAGCAATATGTACCATAATGAAACAGAATCATCTGAAAAAATTCAGAAACTTTATCACAACAATTTAATCTGGAAAAATGTCTTCTACAGATACCTCCAAATTAGGCATTAGGTATATAGTAAATCAAATACAGAGCAAGGTAATACACTGTTTAACAATTTCATACCGGCAACCTTCCAACCACAGGCACAGATCCTTAGCCACAGAGTCACCGCTCCTTCCCCAAATTAAATCTCCTTTACAACATCAATCCAGGGTTCTTTAGTAATCCATTTTCCTGTTAAATATTTCTTACTGGCACCTAAAATAATTCCTAGCCTTTACTTCCAAGAAATCAAAAGTAAAGTTACCCAAATACAGCATTCAAATAGTAAAGGTCTAAATGTATGAATTTCTAATGTTGTATTTACAGGCATGACCAGAATATGAGTAAATGAGTCGCCACTTGTTCTCTACATAGCCCCCAACAACCACCTCCTTTCTCTTTTGCTTAACTTTAAGGGTTGATGAAAAAGTCATTTTTTTTCCATCAAAAGCTTCTCCAAAGTTGTGAACTCATGGAGCTTGCTACTGGAAGAGGTGTTAGTGGGGCCAGCAGGGGGTGCTCACCCTGTGGCCCATATGGGTCCTAATGCCCCAGTATAGTGACAGGGACACTATACTGTAAACAAGCGCCGTCCTTTGGATGAGAGGTAAAACCAAGGTCCTGACTCTCTGTGGTCATTAAAAATCCCAGGTTGTTTCTCGAAAAAAATAAGGGGTGTAACCTGGCGTCCTGGCCAAATTTCCCATTGGCCCTTACCAATCATGGCCTCCTAATAATCCCCATCTATGAATTGGTTTCATTACTCTGCTCTCCTCCCTACTGATAGCTGATGTGTGGTGAGCGTTCTGGCGCACTATGGCTGCCGTCGCATCATCCAGGTGGATGCTGCAAATTGGTGGTGATGGGGGGGAGTCCCATTACCTGTAAAGTGCTTTGAGTGGCATGTCCAGAAAAGCACTATATAAGTGTAAGCAATTATTATTATTATTATTAACCCCAGCTCCTCCATGGGCACTGTATAAATGGCTGACCCTGCTCTTTGACCCCAAGCTTCTCTTCCTATCTGTGTGTCTCATGGAGAGCAAGTTGGAGTATGAAAAGACAAATTGCAAGAAATTGTATATGGCAAATAAAGTGACCTTATCTTATAATGGAAAAGATCACTTTTTCCTTAGATTACAGAGAGGTGTAGCAAATCGTGACTGAATTAAATTTATTATCCCACTGAGATCTGATTTTATTCTATGAAAGAAGATGAGGCAACTTATGTGTGGATTATTACTTGTTTATTGTGTTTTACTGTGTTATATTTCTATATATAATCTCCCATATATGCTGACAAAATGCAAACAGTTAATTATATAGAAATACATAATTGTAAAATGAAAAAGGAAGCAGAATGTGATTTAATTATTTTGCAAAAATTCTACTTGTAAATTCTTTCATCGTTAAAACGTTGATAAACAACACATCACACAGTCAGATCACCCTTGACAGAAACATAAGGCGGAGCTAATCAAGCCGCGCGTTTTTCTTCATGGACGTCACTTCCGACGGAAGTAGGACGCATTGTGGTAGGAGAAAGGCGATAGAACAGGCAGGTTGAAGCTTGTCGTTTGTATTGTAGAAAGAGCAGAAAATTAAAAAAAACAAGAAGACATGAGCGACAACGAGAAGGATTTTGTTGAGCGGGTGCGTAACATGAAGTATTTAACAAGGATTTTTAATTTATTCATATGAAGAAACTACGTTTATGATTTCTATGGGGATTTTTTTATTTCAACTGGTTTGTTGGGCCGCCATTTCTTTCTTTAGGCCCAAGGCAGGCGTCTCGAACATTCGTCGTTCCTGCTGTTTTCTGTGGTGCCGATTGGTTGTCCGGGTTGTCAGTTAGGTGTTTCTGTTTTTCTGGTAGGAGGAATAGCTGCAGGAAGGAGGAGATTTGGAAGTCCTGCTGGACGTGCGGATAAGACGCATTAAAACAATAATTTCAAACCAAATTCCTGTTCTTACGGGGGTAATTTTCGCGGTTTTTTTGCCTTGAATACATACATTCGTGCTTGGCTTAGTGTAGTTTTGACAGTATTAGGTTATTGTGTAGGTTTAAGTAATTACGTAATCGCAAATTTTACATGGCGTATTGAAAATAGGTCTAATTTCCACTTTCCGTTGGAGAACCGTGTCCAGTTGCGAGAAGCATTTTAAATATATATGAACATATGTTTGACAGAAAATTTAAATACAATTCCTGCATTCGGAATTGTGCTTTAAGGAATACTTACTAATGCCTGATGTTGATGTGTCGATGTTGGCGATGCTAATGCCTGAATCAGAACTATGCAAATGATACCTTAATGTATTACAGAGACAAGGGGACTACAAAATATTACTCGGATGTCTAACAGCTCTTATATCTGGTATCGGGCCCAGGTACCCTGCAGTCCGCGAAAACAGCCGGCCCAATGTTTTGGTTCCAACCGCCTCGTTTCCGCTTACTTGCTTTGCGGTGAAAGACCAAGTCGAGTCCTAATTGTTTTTTCCCTTGGTGACTCAAAATGCAGAGATCGTGTTCGAACACCAAGTCCACCTTTCCCCTAATATTTTCTTTTACCAAAAACACGTTTTTCCCATGCAGGTCGAAAAGGCTAACTTTAGCTTGAGCTTTCTTTACGCAAGGAGTTCTACTGCAGGAAGCTGGGAAAGAACACGTAGGGCCTAGGACCTTCCCCTTCGATGGCGTTTTGTTTTAATTGACATTTTTCTTTGCCTGAGTAATGGAAGTAGGTGTGTGAACTGTTTCGCAGTTGCTAGAGTTTTAGAAATTGAGCCCATGAAGACCGTTAACGTTTTTTTAACACTACTTGCACATTTGTCCTATGCATGTCGCATATATGTTGCTCATTTTTAGTTGCTCATGGACATTTGTCTCCGGGGAGTCTGCATGGACTGTTGTATTGAAATGGTTACTTTCAGGACCAATTTCTGGTCTTTTTGCTTTCCTCGTTTTTGAATTTTTTGGGTGCGAGGTAAAGGCCAGTTTTGTGCTATAGGGAATTTGCGTTTCAAAGCCAAAGGGAAAGTGTCGTACTTTTTTTTCGTTGATAATCTTGAGACCAGCAACTTAAAAGTGTAGTTTGTGAATCTGTTTGTTTTCCCGCCATCCTAGTGAGGACATAATACGTAAACTCCTTTTTGGGGGATAGGTAACTGAATTATATTAGTCTTTAATATTTCACTCTGAATTACAATGTCGTTTTTATATTAGTCTTTAATATTTCACTCTGAATTACAATGTCGTCTTCATCTCGCCAGAGCTAGAAGTTGAACACAGCTTTTTACTTTCACGTTTACTTTAACTGCAGGTTTGAGGGTTAATGCAGTCATTTTGAACAGAAGGCACATTTGATCAAAAAGTCAGCTTGTTTTCCTGCGTTGTCATGATGTTGATAAAATCTGAATGATCTTTTGTTTATACCTGACTTGCAAAAATCACTTAGCAATATTTCAAATACATATTTATTTGTGATTCCATTATTAAAATACTTGTTTCCATTTACTTTTCAGTGTATGTTTGAATAAACAATCATCTTGATTTCAGTGTTCACTTAAAAGACCAGTTTATGTTAAAGGTAGTCTAATTCAGTTATTACATTAATTATTTGTATAAGTGGTGTACAGAATGTAAAAAATTCAGGTGTTTGTTCCATATTATAGTACACCGTTCTGAAATTGTAGTCAGCATGTAAGTTTTTTATGCCATTTACTGGTAAGAATTATATAAGGATGCAAAACCCAAGAGGGCAATGGCCTAATCCAGATTTTCTGGATAGTAAAAGAAATCTTTAATTTATGAGAAAAATAAGGAAGTTAACTGTAGCTGAGAGATTTTAATGTTTTTCATTATGAAAATGTTATGTCCCTTTATTGTACTGTATTCCAGAGGTAAATGTAATGGATTTTGTGGTGCACTTAACATCATCACAATAGGAGACCAAGCCGACTTTCAAGAGCAGTAAATTAAGATAGTTTAATGTTTGTGAATTCTATTAAACCCTTTCTGTATGGCATTATTGTTCACTGTCTAGGATTTCTTTGTTTAAAGACTTGGGTACCAGGATAATTGACTTCAATGTACATTGTTTTACATTGGCTCTTGCTTTTTATGAATCTGTAGTTTTTACACATGCTTCATCCTTTTCTTTTTTTGTTAAGGTTAAGATTGGAAGAGGAAAATTGCGGAAGAAGTCAAATGACAAGTTTTTAATAAGAATAATTTGAAGCTCAAATGTGTGAAGCTGAATTTGAGAATGCATGCTAATTTTAAGAAAAAAAGAAGTTTCCACATGTAGAATATTTGCAGTATGAGAAATGGGGAAGATGAAAGAAGTCAGAATATGACACTGAAGAAAGAAGAAAAGAAATGTATATGAAGTTAAGATCAGAAGTAATCTGGGATAAGATCACTGCGCTAAGTAATTATTAGTCTGTTTGTGTCCCTGTAAAATTTTTATAAGCGTGCATGCATTATCTATGTAATTAAATATGAATATACAGGGTTTCTTTTTATCTTAATCCCTTGTTTTAGAATGAAATCTACTCATTAGAAATTTACCTTCGATTTACAATGTTAGTCAGGTTTTTGTAGTTTCCTTAGTTTGAATTTAATGTCATGAGTTTTTAATAAAAACTCACTCCCTAAAGGTTGAGCCTGTTTTCTCTTAAATTACATATTCTCTAAAAAACCTTTATTGTAATATGCTTTACATAGGGATTTTCTTTAGTAAAAAAATGAGCCCTTATGGAGTATCTTGTACAGATTTTTTTTCCTTTTGGATGTCATGGGGTTGAATCTGTGTTGATTGAAATCTCAATGGTTGCTTTAGGATTCCCGCTCTGCCTCCCGGAGTGTGAGTCCGCGGCTGTCGGTCAAGTCTGCCAGCCGCTCCCCAGCTCAGTCTCCAGCTCGCTCTCACTCCAAGGATGGGTCCCAGCACTCCAAGTCTAAGTCTCGCTCACGATCACGGTCCAAGTCCAGGTCGGTGGTCTACGTATTAGTACATAGAAAATAACCTTCTGTTCTTGTTCATGTATCTTTTGGCTTAATATGGCATCCTTGTAAATTGTCATCTATGCATGAGCAAGCAAATGAGTCGTCCAGTTAAATGTCTGGGGAAATTGTTCCACATAATTGATGTGGAATGTGCTGTTATATCTGCAGGTCTAGATCTCATCGCAGTTCCCGGAGGCGCTACACTCACTCGCGCTCTCGCTCGCGTTCCCATCGTCGAAGGTCCAGGAGCAGGTCGTACAGTGGGGACTATCGGCGAAGACGTAGCCATAGCCATTCGCCCATGTCAAACCGCAGGCGCCATATTGGAAACAGGGTAAGATCCGCTTTACTGTCAAATAACTCAGTAGTTTACTGAAAGCTCAATGTTGTGTAGTCAACATTGTTTTGTCAGCTTGCACTGCTTAATCTAGAACAATGATAAACACCTGGATGAACTGAAGTTTTCTTTTTGATGTTCTTTGAAAAGTTCAGGGCTCTAGTTTTGTTACAGTAAAAGCTTTAATGGACTGACTTCCAGCTGTTTGTTTTTCTCATTTGAATTTGTTTTGTGTTTGCATTAAGTTGAGACTTAAATGCTATAGCAGGATATTGCTTTAATTTCATTTACTGTAGCAGTGAAACTGCTTATGACATTGTAATAAGAAAATGAAACTGTTTAAGGAGTGTGAATACTTTTGATAGCCATTATATACTAGGGACTCTAGCTATGTCTGTGGTATAATAGTTGCAGTGTTTTTTTCCCCCCACTGCTGAGTAGTTCATTGTGCTTAAACCGATTTTCAATGTGTTTTTCTTGACCTAACTAATTTAAACAGGCAAATCCTGACCCAAACAACTGCCTTGGGGTTTTTGGTCTCAGTCTTTACACCACTGAGCGAGATCTACGGGAGGTTTTCTCCAAATATGGGCCACTCTCAGATGTCAACATAGTTTATGATCAGCAATCTCGACGTTCCAGAGGATTTGCTTTTGTGTACTTTGAGAATAAGGAAGACTCTAAAGAAGTGAGTATTTAGGGGTAGTTTTTTTTGCATTATTTTGTGGGCTTTGCATTCTGCAGGTGTCTGTTGGCTCTGTGGGTGGGCTTAACACTGTTCTGGGTGTTTCATGTTTAATATGTTGAAACATCTCCTAAATCCCTATTCTAATTGTCATGAAACTTGTCATCCCCCTGTACACGTACATCAGATATTTACAATTGTTTTGCTACCCAGAATGTATAGGCCAGTGTTATAACATGTAATTTAATATTGTGGAAAGTGTTTATTCTGAGAACAGCTTGAATCTCGGATCTGGACCATAAGTACACTGTCTCAAAGAAGTTATGCTCATTTGCAATTTTATTGCTCGAAAGGGAGTATTTGTGAACTTCACTAGAAAAACTCATGCTTTTTGATAGGCTAAGGAGCGAGCAAATGGAATGGAACTTGATGGACGCAGAATCAGAGTTGACTTCTCAATAACAAAAAGGCCTCACACACCCACCCCTGGAATCTACATGGGGAGGCCAACCTAGTAAGACGTTTGTTTGCAAATCTGTTGAAAGTAATATACTCATTTAACATCAAGAACTTGAAACCGCTGAAAAGTGTGTTTATGGATGCAAACATTGAATGAATGCCCTTAGTCTTTACAAGTGTTCTTTAACTCTGTAGTGGCGGCGGTGGCGGCGGCGGCGGCGGTGGCAGTGGTGGTGGCAGCGGTGGCGGCGGCGGCGGTGGCTCTCGGCGATCTCGAGATTACTATGACAGAGGATACGATCGAGGTTATGATCGCTATGATGACCGGGACTATTACAGGTCTTACAGGTACAGAGCTCCCTCAGTTCTGTTTTCTGCTGACGTCCTAGAGTTTACAACTATTAGTACTTAAATGTAACAGAACTTAAGAGTCACATATTGCTGCATTATTGCTTTTACTAGATTATGTTCAGTTCTGTCAATTAAAATCTTTATCTGTAGTGTTAAATAAAGATAGGGTTTTGGACTTGCATCTGCTTAATTTTGTTTTTTTCTTAGGTGGAAATCTTGTAATTACCACAGTGTGAGAACAGTACCTGTCAGTGAATGTTGATTTTTTTTTATTTCAGACGCAGGTCCCCATCTCCATACTACAGCCGTGGACCATACAGGTCTCGATCCCGATCACGCTCTTACTCTCCACGTAAGTTGACCTTGCTTTCATTGTGACTGTATCCACGTAAGTTGACCTTGCTTTCATTGTGACTGTATACAGAAATGCTAGTGCGTTTCTAAAGTGTGTCCAAAAGAAAAAGCCATTATATCCTTGATTTACTTGACAATGGTGAAAGAACTTTGTAAATGTCCCAGAAAATTCTAGTTAGACCCTTAATCTCCTCTTGAAGTAACAAGACTTTCTTTTGTGTAGTGATCTTTTTTTATAATCTGATGTATTAAGCAGGTATAGTTGTAGTTTTCTAATATGTGGTTGATTTTGGTGACAGAGTTTATAACTAGTGCTTATTGTTTATAGTCCGTATTTCCATGACCAGCAAAGTTCGGATAGTTTAATGTGTGTCAAAGTTTAATTTTCTTTATTACAATTATTTCTAGTTATTTCTTATTATTATTTCATATTTGACATTTTTAGGATCAGGGTAGAGGTGAATATGTGAACACTTAACAAATGCCTGTTGCTTCACAAAGAGTTTCAGGTCATGGTATGGTTTAAATATACTAAAGGTTTTTTTTTTATTGCACACCAAATGATTTTAGAACTTGCACCAATATTGCATGAAATAACATAAAATTGGAACTTAGTTTACAATTTTAATTACATTTCAGACTTTCTTGTTTTCCTAAAATTTCTGCATGAAATGTGAGCTTACGTCAATGAACATAACTATTTTGTTTATATTTATATTTTGTTTAATGTTGAAAACAGCTCCTATCTCCACGCTTAAAGCATAATTGCTCCTGGCTCTGTAGCACACTAATGTGCAGCTCACAGTTTGGCAAGTATTGCTCTAGGTCAGTGGTCTCCAACCAGTAGATGAGTTGACCAGTCTGTTGTAGGATCTGTAGCAGTTTCTCAGTCCCTCATCTTTTAATACCTGAAGGCAGAGCTGCATGATCGTACCAGAACCCTGTGTGACTTTGAACTACTGACCCCTTCCATGTGACAGGTTATACATCCAGAAATATAAAACCAGCTACTATATCCGCACTTAAGGTTTGCTCTGGGTGTGGAATATTAAAAAATATTATTTTAAAGCTGTATGTATACTTAAATGAACCAAATGTTAGTGAATGTTTTAGCGTTAAGCTAATTAGGTTTGTTCAACCAATTTGATTATATACAGTCGTGTGCAAAAGAAAGTACACCCTCTTTCAGTTCTATAGTTTTATATATCTGGACATAACAAATAATCATCTGATCCTTACCAGGTCCTACAATAAGGTAAATCTAAGCTCATCTGACAAACAACACATAACTGATTCTACTATGTCATTATTTAACAAAAAATAAGCCAACATGCAAAAGCCATGTGTGAAAAGCTAAGTACACCCATGGTTCAGTAGCTTGTAGAACCACCTTAAGCAGCAATAACTTGTAGTAATCGTTTTCTCTATGACTTTATCCAGTCCCTCACATCGTTTTGGAGAAAGTCTGGCCACTCTTCTTTACAACATTGCTTCAGTTGATTGATGTTTGAGGGCATTTATTTATGCACAGCTCTATCAGGTCCCGCCACAGCATCTCAATAGGGTTGAGGTCTGGACTTTGTCTTGGCCACTCCAACACCTTGATTCTTTTCTTTTCCAGCCATTCATTTGTAGATTTTTCTGGTGTCCGTGGGATCATTGTCCTGTTGCATGACCTAATTTCAGGCAAGCTTTAGCTGTCTGACAGATGGCCTCACATTTGTCTCTAGAATACTTTGGTATCTAGAGGAGTTCATGGTCAACTTGATGACTGCAAGGTGCCCAGGTCCTGTGGCTGCAAAGCAAGGCCAAATCATCACCCCTCCATCATCATGCTTGATGGTTGGTATGAGGTGTTTGTGGTGATGCGCTGTTTGGTTTTCACCAAATATGGCGTTGTGCATAATGACCAAACATCTCCACTTTGGTCTCGTCTGTCCAAAAGACATTGTTCCAGAAATCTTGTGGTTTGCACAGATGCAACTTTGCACCTTTGCAACTTTGAATTGGCTTCATTACTCTGCTCTCCTCCTCACTAATAGCTGGTGTGTGGTGAGCGTTCTGGCGCACTGTGGCTGTCGTCGCATCATCCAGGGGGATGCTGCACATTGGTGGTGGTGGAGGGGAGTCCCCATTACCTGTAAAGCGCTTTGAGTAGCGTGTCCAGAAAAGCGCTATATAAGTATAAGCAATTATTAATTATTTGCAAACCTAAGCCGTGCTGCCATGTTCTTTTTGAAGAGAAAGGGCTTTCTCCTTCCATGAAAGCCATACTTGTTCAGTCTTTTTCTGATCATACTGTCATGAACTTTAATGTTTAACATGTTAACGAGGCCTGTAGATCCCTAGATGAAGCTCTTGGGTTCTTTGCGATTTCTCTGAGCATTATATGGTCTGACCTTTTTTTTACAAATGAAGAACATTCAAGCCAATCTTCCCAGGAGTGGGATTTTGCTGGGACGCCCACTCCTGGGAAGATTGGCTTGAATGTTCTTCATTTGTAAATAATCCTTCTCACTGTAAATGATGGATTTCAAATTGTTTGGAAATTGCCTAATAACCCTTCCCAGATTAATGAGCAGCAAGAATTGCTTCTCTGAGTTCATTGCTGATGTCTTTTCTCCTTGACATTGTGTTAACACACCTGAATGCTTCAGACCTCCAAACTGCCACAAGTTCTGCTTTTATAGAGGAGGTCACACTTCCTGATGATACACTAATCAGATGCATTTGATTAGCAGCACCTGGATGCTAATTACCTTCTTAATTCCTATGGAAGCAGTAAGGGTGTACTTATTTTTTCCCACATGGGTTCTGCATTTTGGCTAGTGAAATCTATTGTTTTCTGTTATCTGAAGCTAGATTTGTCTAATTATAGAAGTTGAGGACCAGACAATTATTTATGCCCTGATATGTAAAACCATTGAATTGAAAGGGTGTACTTTATTTTTCACATGACTGTAACGCCTGCTGCTGTATTTCTTGAACCTGTATGTCCAGTCAGTGCAAGTATAGTTCAAATACAAGGAAAGTGACCAGCCTTGTTCACGTGTAGGCTGATGCCATTATTTATATTGGCCAAGAATGCATCTGGGCTAGCAAAAACATAGTAAATGCTTCTATATCCAAATCTGACTTGCATGTAGAATGATAATTTATTTGTTTACAATTGTTAAACAGTGTGATATCAAAGTATATTAGGGGGGGATTTGAAATGACACCACACAGTTTATCATAGTTAATTCAAGGATAGTTTTTCCTTAAACAGCATCCTTACAGTTACAGATACAAAGTTAACAGGAAGTAGTTTTAAGAGCTTATTTTAAAAATCCAACAGCAAATGGTAGGGTCTCCATTGACATTGTGCATTTACCATCTGCTGGCTATATGTAGGAAATCAGTTATTCATGGATGAGGTAAAGAAAAAATGGCAGCAGTCCAGTATATCATTTTGCACTGCCACAGTAGCAGGGCAAGTAGAACCTTTTAAGATGTTTCTACAACTATGGGAAGACTTGAAGGACTGAGAATGCTTAATATAATTGCATTTTGATAAATCTGTCGACATGACTGATAGCCCTATGGTACAAACAAAATGGATCTTCTCACCCTTTTGACCCACAAAGAGAACACAAGAACTGGGAATATCTACAAGTGCAGAAGGCATGTGATTGAAAAAAATCTTTCCAAACTAGTTTCTCTCACAGCTGTTACTGCACCTGTCATGCTTGGCCCAAATAAGGCTATTTTGCAGAAAAAAATCCCGATTTCCTCTTTTCAATTACTGTATAATCTACCAGGAAGTATTAAATTAAAGACTTTCCTGTAGAGTTTTTGATGTGATGCCTCAAATCAACACTTAAACCAAGAAACAAAACATGCAGTAAGCAGTCCAGTAATGTCTGGATGCTAAACTTGAGATTCCTTACAGACTGAATGTCAACTGAACAATCAGGAATGCAAACTGCAAGGAAAGGATGGTTTGTGGTCCTGCCAGTTTAGTAATATGCTACAGCACTTCTGTGTCTGAAGAGAAATCTAGAAAAAATGTAATTTAAAAATTGAACATGGGTCCAACTGGATAACTTCTGTACACACCTGGAAAAATCAGCAGAAGAATTCAACAGGCAATTTCAGAACTTGATGGAACAAATCATGTTCATTTTAAATCTGTTCTTTCAAGTAGACATTGCTGCTTGACTACCAAATTCCACCAAGGGTTAGATTTGCAAAGTGTTGTAGTTGATATGGATGATTTGATAGTAGAGCTGAAAGTCAGATTGAGGGATTTATGAACAAAGTATCCTGTGCTTTTTTAAAATTAATGATTACTTTGTTACCATATGCTACGGAGAGACGCATTCTCCTAATTGATGGTATTTGGACTTAATAAGATGGGCATCTGTGATGCCAGTGCAAGGACTGTACGTTACTAGCAGTCTCATAAGTCAGCTATAACCTAGACTTTGAAGCAGTAGTATAATACTAGAAATGTATGAATATATACTTGATTTTAGATTTTTAAAACTAAAGCCTTGGGTTAAATTCGAATGACCTCAATCTTGCTTTAAAAAGTTTGGAGAGCACTGATCTGGGCATTGATAAGAACTGCAAATTGCTTTAACTTTATTTTTAAAAATGCTTTAGAATTGAACAAGCATTAGTAGCATGGAGAATTGTTTATTACAGTATAAAGACAAAAGGACCTTTCCTAACAAAACTAAAGATGGTAACTTGCATACAATGTTCTAACTCTTAAATGAGCATGATGTCGCATGGCCTCCTCATTTGTTACCTAATGTCTTGATTGTTTTTTTTAAGGTCTTACTTTTTTGGTGATAGATTTGAGTTTTGCCAGGTTTTCAATGGCAGGTGTTATAACCAATCCTTATAATGGGTTGTAAATAGGCTAGATGAGCCGATTACCTCTTATTTGTATTCATTATGTTCTTAACTGTTCCTTTGCTGTAAGAAATAGAGCTCTGTTTTTACAACTGGAGTGGCTATCTTCCATTTTTATATTTCACACCGCTTCATATTCTGTTGCTGAATTGACATTTGACCAATCTGCTTTTTGCACTTTGTTAAGTCAGCCTTAGAAAGGCTTTGTCTATATATTAAACCAATATTAAACAAGGTGTTTTTTAAGGAGATCAAGATCTTTTATCTTGAGGTTGATACTTATGTTTTGGTGTGAATTATGGAAGCTGTTGTCATTTAAGAAATGCCATTGATTTATTATACCTTACATTCTTAATATTGTGTTTTCTTTGTAGGTCACTACTAATGGGCTTGATGTGGACTACCTTCAATGAAGATTTTTTTTTTTGTTGGGAGGGGAAAAGGGTTGCCAGCTGTTTGTAAATTAATGGGCAGTCAGTGAAAGTAAAATTTTAAGTCAGTTTCTAAGTTTTAAATGTCCCTGAATCTGTATCAAATGTGCTGTTTTTATATTGTTGCACTCCTTTTTGCAGTCAGTGTGAATATCCTAAAATTACACTGCTTGTTCTTTTACTATATATAGATGACTAATTTCTGTCCAGTGTTCAACAGTATATTTAATAGGTTTATCAAGAGACTGATTTTCACCAACACAGGCATGTTTAACAGTGGAACAGACATTAGTGAAATATTTTCTGAACTTTTTCACCTTAACTAATGTACATACTCCACATCTGTCATAATAAAATTGAATGCATGGTCAAAAACTAAAGGACATACTCTATTGCTTTATTCCATTTTAATTTAATTTTAAAATTTGAAAGCACCCCCCAAATCCTAAAAGCTCAATCTGTAACCCCTAGTTCTTCCTTTATACTTGAGTCTAACCCCCATGCAATTTGTTTTTCTCGAAAGGTCATGTGTTCTGTTGGAGTCAGAATATAGAATACAAGTGGCTCGCTGTTTTTGTAACATGAGGTCTTGAACATTTTTTAGTTTTATTTCAAATTGCCAGTTTCATTGGCATATCTACTAACAGCATCTTTGTCTGCACAAGGAGAATGGGGATGTGTAGATGTACCTTGCAACACAACTGAGGAGCATGGCGTAGCAGTGTATATCTCTAATGCTAGATGCACACAGACTTGCACTGGCAACTTACAAAAGCAATGGCTTGCACCACGAGGGCCCTGGCCAGCTTACAAATTATGTACACTTAGTGATACTTTTTCAGTTATTAACTGACTGGGATACCCAGGGAAAGTGAGATTACTCAGCCTTTAAGTAGTAACTTAAAACTGCTTCCTGCGTACCTCTGCTCATTGAGTCACTTGGGGGCCCAAAGATGTACAAACACTATAAGCAGAAATGTACGTAAAAGATTTTCTGTAACGCCAGTGACCACTTGAGATCTGTGTGGCAGTAAAACAGTTTGCAACATTGGCAACCCTGGAGCGGTGGATGGTGTAAGAATAGCAGGGGTCTGGTTATGTATCAATGTCAGCTGAGTTTCTAATCTGTTTTGACATCCTTTGATTTTGAATTTATCTACCTGAAATATCAGAAGCTGCAGAGGTTTACCTTATTGTTTTCATATGGATGCTTTTCTGTTTGTTTTAGCTGTAAAATGTTTTTTTAAATTATGAACTTCTAGAGGTTGTACAAGTGTGGAGCTTTTCTGTGGTAATCTGTGATCAGTGTGCATATGCTTTGAAGTCAGAAGTAAATGAGCAATAAACTGCTTTATACTTCCTGAGTTTTAGGTTTGCTCTGTTGAAAAGTTATTTTAGTACAGAAAACTTTTCAAGTGTTAATTCTGTTGACTTTTGTATTAAGTTCTTGATTAAAATCAGTTTGGTATTTGTATTTTTTTTAGTTAAGATGAAATTTAGAATTGCTGACAGATATGTTCCTCGACTTTGTCATCTTGAGGTTTCATGCCAATGTTAAGATTAATGTTTGTATTTCTTTTCCTTCCTCTGATATAAAAAAATGAAAAATCATTGACCTACATTAATAAAATCTTTGATATATGTAACATTTTACTGTTTTCTTTTGTCCAGTCTATTTAATTTCATTGTAGCATGTTCATTTAAGAACATATTAATGTTGGTTCAACTGTTCTTAAATTTATATTTTAAGTGTCCGTGATGAAGGTAGCAATTACATGAATATTGGGTAAGTTGATTGGAAATTGATTGCTATTTGTTGATTGTGTTTAATAGCCAAATAAGTAGTTAAACTTGAATGCTGAATCATGGTTGAATAGTGAATGTAGAAATCAATGGGTTAGCCTCATTTTGGGTTTCTAGACATTAGAGGTGCAAGTTGATTTCTAAGGTATCAATGTTTTTGCCAAGTGAGGTTCTTAAGCTTTCCATTTAAATTAGGTTCCATGTTACAGCTGTAATTTTTATTTCATTTATTTCTGAGGGATCTTTCCCTTTTCCTTTAAATCTTTGAGCTCAATGTATTTGAACAGAAGAGAATTATGGGAATGTTTCTTAATACTGATTAAAGGTCAGACATTTTGTTTTGGTCAGTACCCTTATTACAAATTGAATGGCTAGAAGTTGCGATGTAGACCACTTTGATGAAACCCATGTAATCATGACTTAAACTTTTATCAAATGTACACTTGGTATTCTTTTCTTATACTGTGTTCCACATCATCTGTGAAGCATTTTTAGAGTATACACTGTGAAAAGAAGCTCACTGTTTATACAAAATTTAATTCATGAACAATTATCCTTCACACCTGGGTGTAGATATAGTTGGGTGTTTCCATTCCTGGTCTTGGAAAAATCTAAAGTCTAGTTGGTTGTAAATTTTCTATTTGTGAAGATTGGGAACACTTGTAATTTGGCTAAGCCAATTTGTTAAACTGAACAAATTGGCTATTTAACTGTTTATACTTGTTCCTGTTCTTCAGAAATTAATTTCATGGTTATAAAACTTCCTGGACAGTCCAGTTTCTAACTTTTCTCCTCTTGTAGTTAAAATTGAGAAATTTTCAACATTTAAAAGTTTAATTTTGTATATGTGCCATATCGCCAATAGTGGTTAATTAAGATGGATATAATGACTCCCATCTCAACAGTTTTGGGGAAAAAAAATATTTTTAAAAAGTCAGGTATAAGATGGGAATCTGCGAACACCAAACTCATAAGTTCTCAGTATACTGAATGAACAAAGTTTGCTAGGGAAAGTTTGGTAACTTGTAAGCTAAATACATTGGAATAAAAAGCACTTACAAAGGGTAATATTTGTTAACCTTTTCCAAGTGTGATTAAAATTGTGTACTCACCAAGACAAAGGGAGCAGCTGACTGTTTGGAAAAGTGGAAGCAGTACCACACTGGACCTGGCAGATGTTGGCTATGAATATCTTGAAAATATTTACTGATACTATGGGGGGGGGGGAGAATGTTTTCTGCTCTTTCCCAGTTTTGCCATGACTTAGATTGATAATATTCAATGATTGTGATCAAAGTGGCCATGTGACTTCTTACTACAGCTGAATTATAATTTTTATATTAGTCTTTTGGCTTAATATAATCAGTATAGCCAGGTATTTACACTTTTCTGGTGCAAACCTTGTACATTTGGGTTGACTTTATGATCATTTGAGAAGGCAGAATTTTCTTTGCTCTAGATAAAAATTGCTTACACTTATATAGCACTTATAAGTGTATATATACACTTTTCTGGACACTCCACTCAAAGCACTTTACAGGCAATGGGGACTCCCCTCCACCACGCATGGATGATGCGACGCCAGCCATAGTGCGCCAGAACGCTCACCACACATCAGCTATCGGTGGGGAGGAGAGCAGAGTAATGAAGCCAGTTCAAAGATGGGGATTATTAGGAGGCCATTTCTAATCGGAAATTTGGCCAGGACGCCGGGGTTACACCCCTACTCTTCTCAAGAAGCCCCCTGGGATTTTTAATGACCACAGAGTCAGGACCTCGGTTTTACGTCTCATCCAAAGGACGGCGCCCGATTACAGTATAGTGTCCCCGTCACTATACTGGGGCATAAGGACCCACATGGACTGCAGGATTAGCGCCTCCATGTGTGCCACTAGCACCTCTTCCAGCAGCAACCTTAGTCTTTCCCAGGAGGTCTCCTATCCAGGTACTGACCAGGCTCACACCTGCTTAGCTTCAGTGGGTTGCATGTTGTGAGTTGCAGCTGGCCATATACTATACTAGATCATGTAAGTACACCCTGCCATGCATAACTCAAAAGTCTTATTGTGGAATCTATGGGTGGTTTTCTATGTACAGTTGAGTTTATGCACATCTATTCCAGTATAAACCCATGGAGGGGGCTCAATTTCTTCCAGATTTAATGGTCAGGGTAAATTAAATAAGATAGTGGTAAATTAAACAAGACCATTGGTTATACGTCATTCACACTTCAGCCAATGTTGATGTTTAAAAAAAATCAGACATTGGCTGACCTTATCTGGTGGTTTAATACCTGCCCAAAGTCTGATATCTTATGGTCCCTCTTTTCCTCTGGTTATAAACTTGGGGCTTTTAATAATATATGAAATTTATATTCATGTGACCTCAGTTCTCACTGTTAATTCTTTGCAATGTATGGAATGGCTTTGTTGGGCAGAATGTTACAGGTATGGAGTAGGATTACATTGTACCATATTTAAAAGCAAAGGATGTCGCTGTCAAAGCTTTGTACATTATGGAAATTCTTTAAAATTGTTTTATACTTATACATCTGGAGTTTAAAAACATTAAATGATTTCCTGGTCTTGTGGTACTTAAGCTCAGCAATAATTAAAGTAATTCTTAAATTCAGATCATGTGATATTAAATGTATTAACAGTTAACGCTGACTGCTTTTGTCACTGAGTTGTATTTACATAATACTGTAGCACTTCATTGACCTTGATTCCAGATAAGTGCAAAAGTTGTCAGAATGTTCAATGTATCCCTGATACAGAATCTACTGTACAGAAAACATTTTGTATTCATTGTATGTTGAATACTTTGAGTAAACTATCCATTGTCAAATTTTCACTCCCACTGAATTGTTAGGATGGCAGCTCTTGCAGCTTTGTATTTTAAGTCAAAAAGAAGGACACCAACACATTGGTTAAGTTTGAAAAATCTCTTAAGACACATGATTCACATTAAATGAATTGCACTTTAGGAACATTATCTGAATTTTCATATAAATGTAACTAGAATAAAAAATTAAGAAACCTGGAGGCTGCTTTTAAGATGAAATGACTGTCAAGCCTTAAGAACTGCTAATAGACAAAAATAAATTGTCAAACTGTGCTTATGGACTGAATCACAGTACAGTTGTTGCTAATAAGGTTACCCCATATGTAACGAGCTACTGTGGAGTAGTGGTTAGGACTGAAGACTGAAAAAAAAGAACTGAAAAGCTATGCAGCTAAATGCTTGGTAGGACACTGCTGTTATAACTTTGGGCAAGGTAATTAACTCTGCTTCTCAGATATATACCTGCAAATATTGATCATGTATTTGGACAAAAATAATTAAAATAATGCATGGTTGAATAATAATTTCTTACACTTATATAGTGCTTTTCTGCACACTCCACTCAAAGCACTTTACAGGTAATAGGGACTCCCCTCCACCACCACCAATGGGAACCCCCAACCTGGATGATTTGACAGCAGCCACAGTGCACCAGAATGCTCACCACACAGCTATTAGTGATGAGGAGAACAGAATGACGTAGCCAATTTATAGAGGGGGGGTCAGGAAATCAATA